AGATAAAATTTATTCAATCCTTCACTCATTTTATTCAATTCTGGATCCTTTTGATAGCTCTCTCTTTCTCACTCTCTCCGCAGCTTGTGCTGCCATCCTTGCCCATGGCTTTCCTCAAGTAATAACTCAAGTATCCTTTGATCCAAAGTTACACAATGGCAGGAGACACAAAATCTGAACTGTTATGTGAAGATATATATTAGCTTTCCATTATAAGGTTTCCTCCCTTTGAAGTTCTGAGGAAACTACAATTTCCTTTCTCCTGCTGTAAGATGTATATTCACTGATAGTTAAACACGTCTCCCATAACAATTCATTTCCCAAGCTTCACCAATACTTAGGTATAGTTCAAACAGCATCTTTGAGCTGTACACATTTTCTCAAAGAAATCTTTTATCCTTCCACTCAGGTGATGAGGAATCCTACCAGGAAATGGCTTCTTGCATCTGACTGAATGAGCCTACATAACACTAAGCATCGTCATTTTAACAGGCATATGAAAAGTTCACATCCGTCATTATTAGCACAAGGAAGAACACTGTGCTTGGTTAGACAAGTAGACAAGGCAGCACTAAAATCATAAATCCACTTACAATACTGTGCCTCAAGAAAGCCCTTGTTCGCCATTCTGTGTCAGATTGTGTTCCATGACAGTACTGGCTGTTCCTGGGGACTGGACATTTATCGTGTTATAAACAAGGAGTTTTGAGGCCAGTGGACTACAGTAGCTCTATATAAAAGGCAGTTGTATTTTTATGCCTTTGCTAAGCTTTGTGGTAAGTGGCTCACCTCATAAGCACTAGACTGTGTAAGCCATACTCAAGAAAGTGAGCATTTATGCAAATCATCCCACAGTCCTTAGTGAGGCTGTTCCTGTATGCTCTCAAAAATGCAAGTGAGATTCATGCAGCGTAACCCTCGACATGTGTCTGGAACTGCACAGAGCTCAAGAAGCGATGGTCCTGCAATCTGCTGGCAGGAGCTTGCAGGGGAGACAAGCAGAGAGCAACAAATTAGGCTGCAACTTAGAGCTGTGCCATCATCACTTGCAAGCACTTATAAATTGTTTTTCCTCCCCCTCCATGCTGTAGCTATGGGCTTTCATGTTCCTACCTCTGCTAAATATGACTGCTCTGCTTACTTACCCATCTCTCAGAAATGTAGGGAGGCTCATTTACAGGTTGTATCATACACCAAGGGGTAAAGCATTAACTGTGTGTTGAGCATATAAGCATAGTTTATCCTAATTTCGATTGCTTCAGTTTTGCCTATATTTGATCAGATTACAGGCAAACTTAAGTTAAGAGTAACAACAAATGTGCCAAGGCTGCATTTTGCTTTCTCTGTGGATGTGAGACTGACAAAAAGGAAAGGAAAGTACACCGGAGGAATAAGCCTGTATTAAATGGCTCAGTTTTCACTCGCATACCTCCTTTGGCTCCTCACTGCAGCAGACTCCTTTGGCTTGTCACAAACCACCCCTATCTGGAACCAGCTACACAGAGCAGGGACAGATGAGAGCAGGGGCTTGTAATTCACCAGCAAACTACTCAACTGAGAGCAAGTCCTCTCTTTTGCACGTAAATATAATGCTGGCTTGTTTTCAGCTGCTATTGCTCAGTTGCTGTCACTTCAATCACCAGCAGTAACTGCTACCCAGGGCTACCACAAGGGCCATTGTGATGTCCCTGCCTCCACATGGAGGTTTGACTTCAGATCAGCTATGGATTAGCCTAACCCTACTGCCTGATTAACCGGAACAAATGGGAATAAAAGAAAAACAATAACTTGTACGTATAGACTCCCTTCCCCTAATAAGCACAACATTCTCTGCTGTGTGCGTTATTCTTAGCGTCCCCTTTACAATCTGATGATCTAAGACATAGGAAGGATAGACTTGGTCAGTCCAGCTAAAGGGTTCATGGCAGAATTAAGGTCTACGTATCTTCACTCACGGTCCTCTGCTCTGACCACTAGATGATGTTGACGACTTGATTCTTTGAGGTATATGAAAACTCACTCAAACACAATTGTTTCCAGGCAATAGCACAGCGATATCTCTTTTCTCTAAAGCTGACTGCAATTGAAATATTACAATAAACTGCATTTGATATATTACCAAGCTGACATAAGCTTCAAATTCAGTCTTTTCTTTTTTTCAAATTCAGTCTTTTCTTTTTAAGAGCAGAAACTCTTCTGTCACTGATAAAGACCTGAAGAGGTCCCACGGTCTCGTAGGGAATATAAACCTCTGATGGGCATCTGTCTTAAGACACCAGAGAACAAGGGTCAATGTACTCAGGCAAGAAGCGTTGGGATTAACAGAAGGAGAAAGCCTTCTAATAGGCTAATGTATAAACATGATTGTAAGGGAAATCTATCATTTTCCCTAGTAAATTTCAAGCAAATCAGCCAAGCTGCATGAGGATTTTGATGACATTTGCCCTTACAACCAGGGACTCTGTGCCAGAGGCCCTCAGGGCTGCCCACAGTTATATTCCTATGCTTACAAAGCACACTGACCCTGAAGACAGTTCAGTCTATTTCTGTCACAGATTAAGTGACCTCTGAGCTTTTTGCTTCTGACTGCGGAGAGAGCTGCAGGTAGAGGAATGCTCATCCCCTGGTTAAGCTAAACCTTTGTTTGCTGTGTTCGCATGAATAACTTATAGGGCCTTGGCATCATGAACAGCAGCGCTGACACAGTTGACATGACAGCACTATAGACTGAATCCCAATCTGCCCTCCCAGGATAAGATGGGATGTTTGCTCGTTTCACGTTTCACCAAGTCGAGCTGTTCAACTATTTATAAGATGAAAAGAAATTTCCACTACTTCAGCCGGCACACCTGCCTTTACCTAGCAACTGCGCAGACGGAGCCGGCTGAGACAGAGGAGGCTTTGAGCACCCCAGCACCAAGCAGGGCAGCTTCCGCTGTGGGACGTGCCTCCCTGGCACGGCGGCAGCCCTTCCACTCGTCCCAGCAAGGGCTATTTATACCCGGTGCAGCTGGGGAAAGGCAGGACCTCCGGTCTCCAAGCATCAGAGCATTGGCTCCATGCGTGGGCCAGCAGGACCAGCACCGAGGAGCCCACCCAGCCCCAGGCCCATAACCATAGACCAACCGCTTTTTGATCTTCCACTGTTTTGGAAGGAAACTAAAGTGCATAAGGAGCATCGCCCACCAAACGCGTTGGACAAAGCTCTGTTTCCTTCCCAGTGGCAACAGGCAGAGCCGGCGGGGCCCCCCGGCACTGAGATTGCACGTTTGTCTCAGGTGTCTGGGGGGGTCTCCTGGGCAGCCCTTTCCAACTGGGCTCCAGGAGGCACAAAACACACGACAACGTCATGTAAGCACATGCTTGCACCGCCTTTGCTGATCCTGTGCCCAACACAGGTTCATCTTCAGCAGCAGCCTCCTGGTGGGGGGGCAGGGAAAAAACTGCTTTAACTGTGGCTGAACTATATATGAGCTAGTAGGATCAGGGAAGAGTGCAGGAACAAAGGCATTTTCATGTTATAACTGTCAAGAGGGCCTGGCAAAGGTCTGAGGCTGAGATCAGGAAAAGCCAGGAGATCTACTTTTCGGGAATACTGAGTCAAATACTAGCCAGGACTGAAGTCCCGTCATGCTGCAGACCTTGGACACACTAAAACTGAAGAAGAGATAGTCCCTAGAGAGACATTACTGTCCAATTTAAGGCAAGATTTGACAAAGTACATTTAACAGACAAAGAGGGGGTGGCAACAAGAGGAAGATGTGCTAGCGCAGATTCTTCATGTATGCAGTTGCCAGGCTGAGCAAAAAAAAAAAGATATGCCGAATCAAGTATATTTACGCTTAATAGCTGTCTTCTCCCTGCCAGTCATCATCAGGAGGAGCAGGGGCCTTGGGGCTGGAGAGATGCAATCCACACGTGGTGTCCTGAGCTGGTCGAGAGCACAGGCTGGGGCACAGACAGGGGCCAGGGAGCAGGAGAGCGGCCCTGCACCCCCAAGGGCAGCAGGAGCCGGGCAATACCTCTGCCCTCCCCAGCTGCCGGCCCAGCTGGAGAATCATTCTGCCAACCCTTCACTGCCCACCCGGTCCCACAGCATTGCACTGCACTCTGCAGCATTACTACATTTAGATTTTATATTTATATTATATTTTCTGAGTTCTTTCTTGAAGGAGGCTGTTTTCTTCACTCTGAAACCTTAACAGTTCATCTACCAGTGCCTGATTTTTTGAGAGAGGACTGTAAATAAAGGCATATTCTAGTCATTCACAATGTCATAGCAATGTGGCAGTTTTACAAAATGGATGATACTTAGTTAAATAGTTTCAATGCTGAGAAAGAAAAAGCCATAATTACCAGGTCATTGTGAATGGTATTTGTAAAGTAAAGAGTTTACCTGACAGCAACCAGGGAAGAAGACAAAGCAGGGTACATTTTACAGAAAAATTAGATTGACCTGAGTCCAGATCATAAATATTGGAAAAAGGTAAATGTGGTTTGGAAAGGGAAGGGAAAAGGTGTTTCCAGGAGACATGCTTCAGTTTCAAAATATTGTGTACTTTTCACAAAGAAACAGTCTGTGCCCAAAATACTCAGCATCTTTTCTCCCTTGTGCCTGACACATACTTCTTAAATGTAGAGCTGAGATCAGATGTGAGGGAGGGCAGGGAAGAAGGTACCCAGCAGCAGGTGAAGCTGAATCAACAGAGTCATCCTTTTTTGTTTCAGTAAACTCAGCCAGGGACTGATGGTAATCTGAGGGCTATTTCTTCCATCCCTCTCCTCTCCCTCCCTTCCCTTCCCGATTCCCTCCCCCCAGTGCTAGCACTGCTGTTCAGCTTTGTAGTGAGCTGTTCGAGCTGTCTGCCTGAGCCCTGGGTGCTCTCTTTAAAAAAGAAAATCATCGTGCCATCATCCACCTTGCTTTAACACCCACCCACTTAGGAAATCTGAAAGCTGTATATCTCCTCAGAGGTTGCTAATGCTGTTAATTCTCTTACCTTAACCGTCTATCCAAAATGTGAAAGCAGGCTTTCTGCAGAGTCCTGGGCTGTAGCACATTCTGTTGCATTTCCCATACACATTTCAGTGTCTGCTTCCCTTGGTTAAAAATAAAGAAAGTCTGTTCCAACACTCTCTCACTTCATTTTTACATGACTGGAATGCTGCTGTTTTTCACCTGCATTTTCACCAACCTGCACCTGCTAAGCCTTATTATGATTCTTTTCCCGTTCCTTGGCAGGCTAAATTACCCTCTCTAACAACAACCAGACCATCTCCCAGACTCCAGCTAGCTGATTTAAAGATAGCTTGGATCTCTCTGGATTGCAATGTAGACATGCTTGTGTGAGGAGCCACTGCTAAATGTACCATCCAGTTGCCATGGGTCTCACACAACTGCCTGCCTCAGCATTGCTAATGATTTGCCTGTCAAATGAAGGTAATTGCTGAATGATCAGATGCTTTAATTGCCTACTAGGTTTTAACTCCTTGCTACACTGGAAAGATGTTTTTAAGGTGTGAAGTTTGCTTACCCCCCTGCCCCGAATATCATCAGTCATATCAGCTGGAAAACACAGCCACATCTACTGTGTTCTTAGGTTTTCCCTCACAGCTTGGTACTTCCATGCAGCTTCCATACTGCTCTGTCAACCTAAGAGAATGCCGAAAAATATATATGTACGGAGGCTAATCTGCAGTCACACAAGGGTCCTATTGCTGAAAGCTGGCTTCAGAAAGAGCCTTTTAAGAGAACAAGAAAGGAGGCTCCTGATTTTCCCTCGAAGCCATCCTGGATCCTGTATGAAAGCCCTGGATAAATTTAGTTCCCTGCATAGAGGAATCTCAAAGATTCAAGGAAGAGCTAGAAGGAGGAAGCAGGCAAGGAGCAGGGAAGAGTTTGCTCTGTACTGGAAACACTCTTCACTTCTCAGGAGTAAGTGAAAGCAGAGCGTGCTTAAACATAGAAAAACTCAGAATGCTGTAGATTATTAGTGAGATAGGCAGGCCTTGGCACTGCTTCAAAAAGACCTTAAAATGGCCTCAACAAACCCACCTTAGCCTATATCTCTTCCCTGCCCATTCTTGACTCAAAGTGGAGAATCTTCCCTGATACTCAGATTGTGGAGCCAGTACTCTAATGCAGAGACACTATAGTATGCAGACAAGGGCTCCACTGTATTTACTGTAAAAAGGGAGATTAAAATGTTGAAAGGATTTGAATGAGACAGCTTCAGAAGCCTTTCATTATAAATATCCTCGTTATAAATAACCTCAGTCCTTGAAACACTGAGCATTTAATAATAAGAGCGAGAATACATCTGGAGCCATGTGTGTGCTGCTCATGACGTGACCACTGAATGTAATACAGTGAGAAAGCAGAGGAGAATTTGGTCAGGAGAGCTATCTTTATGATTGCTCTGATCCAGTGAGAGACCTGACAATACTGATAAGAGTTGGTAAAACATAAAATGCTAACTGAAACAATAAAATGACTAGATGAAATACAATAGCATGGGAATGGCTTAATCTTTCCAAAAGGTTTAGTTAATTCAAAAGGTAACTAAGACTCAAGTGTCCCCTGGGAGCCAACACTGTAATACTCCATTTCATTCCACACACTATGACTGAGACAAGATCTAAGCAGGTCATGAGCAGCATAATAGGAAAGATCTTATTTTAAACCTCAGCCACTGGTGGAAATAACACTCATTCTTGTTTGGAGGAATGTTAAAAAGTAGGTTAGAGGTCTGTTTGCAATGAGGGCTTTTTTTTTTGTTTTGTTTTACCTGATTTCCAGTAATACTGCCTTACTTTTTGTTATAATAACATAGATCATTCTGTCCTTTTATGGTTACTTTATTTAAACAATATTATTCAGTTCAAAGTAGCTTTATGAATATCTTTGATGTGGTGGATCCTCTTTTCCTATTTATTAACAATGAGGAAGTTACTGTGTATACAGACATGGAAATTGCACCAGACTGGAGGGGATAAGCATCACCTTATGAAAATGGAGGGAAGCAGAGGGAGCATGGGAAGCTGGCTGAGCAGTGAGTCCCATTTCATTGGTTTTGTCATACAGAATATGCTGCAGCACAGCACTAATCAAATCCACAGCTGGCCCAAAACCATGAAGAGGTCTTAGTGGTGGGAGTAAATGGTCATATAAATGAAAACCGAGGCCCATGTTTTCTGGCTGGCAGATCAGAGTCTTCTTTCACTTTACATAATTAACTGGTGAGGAGCTCTCTTAAAGATAATGATATAAATGAGGAAAAAAAATAGTATCCAAAAAAAAACCACCTTTGGTAACTACAAATTTCAAATCCATCTGGAAAATCATTGTCAGCTGAACTGCAGCATTTGGAATAACAGCTGAAGACACACATGATTAAGGAAAGTGGACTGAGGCACTTGCTTTATAGTCTGTACAACATAGGCACGAGATTTGGTAAAGTAAGGGCACATCTACACTAGCAGTGCAGAAACAGCAACACTGGATCTACAACAGCCTTGGTGGTGTCCATCTGTGACCACACAGGACCTCCACAGCCACACAAAAACATGACAGCAGTGTGTCATGTAATAGAGCTTGAGAACAGCGTTAGCTGGAGGGGGATACTCACTCCTCTCACTTCCCACCTTCACTTGCCATCTGTGCTTGTATTAACTACATGCAAGATGGTCTCAGGAAAATATTGCCTGCTTTCAGACACAAGTTTGTTACTGCTGATTGCACACTACCGTGTGTGGATGTACCAGCCCCAGTCTGCACTGGCTCAGGGGTCTCCTTGTTCCATTACAAGGTATAGATACACCCTAATCTTCCCAGGCATTGCACCATCATCTCCTTAATGCCTAGTACAGCCAGTGGATCTACTACACTCACAAGAATAAATACTCCCAAGTCCACAGTTAGGTATAAAGATGTCTAAATAATTCTCCTCTCCAAGTTAAAGTCTCTGCCTTGCTCTCAGGGTTGCACACTCCCTACTGAGCACTGAGGAACATGGTCAGGGCTGAGAGGAGATTCTTTTAAAATGCCATTAGAAGTTTCCTGAAATGCTGACACATCAGAAATCCACATAATTATCATTTAAATTTTTGATCTCTGGCAGACTAAAACTTGCATTGTATGTTTTGTAAATACAATATTGTAAAAACAAATATTATAAAAAAAATTGTAAATACAATCCCTTCAAGTAAGACCTCCGCCTCTCCCAAGTCCCTATTTATTTTAATAGAGTATTTTGGAGTGCCATGGGCTCTCCCTGCACCTAGCTGGAGCCAAGCTGCAGCTAGTATAGCGTACATTGTACCCATCCTTCTAAATTAAAAGGCTTCTAATCATCATCATCACCACCATTATCATTGTACTTAGTCTCTGCCTACTACACAGGGAGGAAATCATTCCACCTTCCCTATGGGATATTGACTGGTTTTCTTTTTCTTCCTCCAGGGATTGAACAAACAAACCCACTCATGGTCTATTATTTTTCCAGAGAATGACTTTCACAACTGTATTCCTTCTTTCCTGGAGAGCACCCAGTGGTACTCCAGCTTATCCTCCCCTCACCCTACCCCTTTTTACAAATATTTCAGTTTGTTTTGCCTCCATACATTTACCTGTAGTGCTCTCCAAGGACAAAAGGATGGCAGCCACTTGAGCATAAAGGTAGTTTAGCTCACAACGCAAGGGCAAAAATGGAGATGGAAATGAGATCAGCTAAAGCACTGCAGCTCTATTTCCCTAATGAAGCAGAACTCTTGCACCGAGCTGGTCTTACAGCACGGTAATCAGGTACACTTCTCACAATGCTTGGGTTATACAGAGTCCTGCACAGAGCAAGGTAATTATCAGCTGCTACTGCTCACAAGGGCTCCTTTCGCCTCTACTTTTTGCTCAGTTGTCAGTTTATAATCAGAAATAAAATAAAATAAATAAAGGAAATAAAAACCTACCTTATCAAAAGCATCTGTAGAAAGGAAAAGAGGTGCTAAATACATATGAATCCCCTTCCCCCCCACCACCACCCCCCAAAAAAAGAAAAAAAATGGGGTAAGAAGTGAGCAGAAGAGGCAGTGTTGTTGCTTAGGTCACCTTTATGAAACATTTCTTTGTAAGAACAAGCTAAGCCAAGCTCTCAGTCCCATTTTTGAAGGAGTACATTGTAGAAATGATTTTATAAATGACCAATAACACTGAGTAACTTTAAGTATGCTCAGAATGTTTTCCCCAATATTGAAAGGGAAGGGCTGATGGACAGCTGAGAGAAGGATGAAATTGATGGGGAGATAGAGTGAGGCAAAGCAAGCACAACTCTGGTCCCCCAGAAGGCTTTGGAAATTTTGCCTTTCACAAGATTTTACCTCTGCTCTTTAGGAACTCTGTGCTTCCACTGATTTTATTATCATGTATTTCCTTTTTAACTGATAAAGGCAGGTCAGTAAAAATCTAATGATCTGCTTAGCAGGTTTAAGTTGAAGTCTGTGGGGAATAAAGAAACAAAATACAATCAGTTTCAGAAGGAGCTGAGATTTGGAAACACCTGTATAAAGCACCGACTTTCTTGTATGGAATAAACATTCCTAGAAATATAGCGGTGGGGTTCTAATGACGTTTATACTGTGTGTTAGTAATACAGGTATTTTAATCTATTTCCAAATATATGGAATGTGATCAGTGAAGAGTTCGTTCGGAAACTTCAGTGGGATGGCAGAAACTGTGACAAAATAAATAATGATATCTGTGTATACAACTTTCTAGGCACTGTGTGCCATTAAGCCTAGCCATTCAATACAAACAAGCAAAAGGAGATATCAGTGGGAAGCAAAACTCAGAAAACTGCACCAAGCAAATTGTTTCAGAATAATGAGATACATACGGTCCAAAAAAGCACCAGAAAGCTTGATCAAAAATAATTTAACTTTTATTTAAGAGCATAAGCAGATGTGACAGAAAGATCACTAGGCAAACTGTTCTCAAGATGTGACCTATGCCAAAATGAAAGGCTTGTTCCAAATTATATTGATGTAAGCACAAGCAGTTGAAATACACACAAAGGCTCTTCAGCTGAAGTGCCTCGAAAAAGTAGACCATGAAGGCATTCCAGATGATAAAATGTTAAGACCTTATAGGAGTATGGAGGAGAATTTCAGAATTCCTGACTCACAGAAGTGTTCACGTTGGTAGGGACCTCTGGAGATCATCTTGTCCCACCCCTCCGCTTGAGCAGAGTCAGCTACAGCGGGCTGTGTCCAGTTGGGTTTTGAACATCTCCACAGATGAAGACTCCACAGCC